AAAATCTCGGAAACAAAGTTTCCGACCGAAAGCAGTTACTTTTGTTTTGCTCCTGTAAAAAAAAAAAATACGAGTGTCCTGTTATGGAACGAAATGTGTTGTTAACAAAATTAACTTCTCTTTTCTTGTAAATGTACAGAATAGTAATACGCAGTAGTTTTTGTTTTGGGCCAATATGGACCGAATATCACAGGTTTCGATAGGGTCAAATGTGTGTTATAAAACAGGAGTGCCAATCCAGCAGTATGTCGTCAGGTGACAGTTATGTTTAACAGTGTTGTCCAGAAAAAGGATGCTAATTCGTCACTTGATGGATTAAAATCTACATCCTGTTGAGATGTGTACAAAAACGCGTCTTGCTATGGACAATAAAAGACCTTTCAGATTTAGTGTGTGTGCTACCATTTGTTTGCAAATGCCCAGTAAAACCCAAATGGTCAATTTTGGCCCTTTTTGGGCCTTGGCGATGAATGCCACACCAACAGTTTTGGTCTGATCGGGCCAAACTAAGCTGATGCACCATCGATATCGGAGGAGGTATAAGAGTGTTTGGTAAGCGGCTTTCTGATCCATCTCCATACTCTCTAAACGCTTTAACTTTGCATACCATTTAGTGCACTTTCTGTTTAAACACAATGAAGTGTGCTATTTAGGAAAATGAACACGTAACGTGTGCACAACATGCACACTTGTTTTACTAGTGTGGAGATCCAAATTTGTCACTACACAAGATTACATCTTTCAGGATGTGCACTAGGCCATTTCATTTTGGAGGGTCAGGAGTTCGATCATGTCGGAACGCATTTAAAATGAAAATTTAGTCAATCCTAAGGATGGTAGTCGATGTCCGGGGCTTTTGTCACCCCCGGAACCATACGCGCCTCGCGGTCAAAGCTTCTTCACATAGCTTTTGGCGGGTACTACGAGTGTCGTGTTTCAAGCCGCGCTGCGGCGAATCGGTGCCACAGACGACCGCGCCCGTTTCAGTGGAGACTACCTAGGGTATGTACTTCACATCGGACGTGGTTCCGACCGCGCGCCCCACCCCGTTCAGAACAAAGGGCGAAAGTACTCGGAATCTAGGTACTTTGCTCTGGCATGAATACCGTTCATTTTTTTCGTTCGGGGTTTGCGCCCAACTGTAGATTGGACCCATAGCTTTCGAATCGCACTTCGACCGTCCACACCGTTTTATTGAATCACCCCCATAATGCGAGTGGAACGATCCGAGCGGCGCCCGGGGGCGACTCGCCGGTTCGAATCGTGCGCGCGAAACTATGACGCTGGCCTGGCGGGAAGCGGTAGAGTCCGCTCACCGCCGCCGCTGCACCCAGCCAGCGCTCGCTGGGTGGCGCTGCAGGCGCTATCAGCCGAAAATAAGCGGCAGGTGACAGGCGAGTCAGTTGCACAAGGCGGGCCAGCAGCGGTGAGTGGCCGACCAGTGCCTCGATTCCTCATTCTCGGACGATAGCCCCCTGCAGCGCCACCCAGCGAGCGCTGGCTGGGTGCAGCGTTTGGTGTGTTCTCTTGAGTGATTGTGATTATACTGAAGAAGTACTGGATGGATGTGGATAAAAAAGTCGTATTAACTCTTTCATTCCATTTTCATAACTGAGTTTATTTCCGGTCTGAACAGAGAGGAAACATTTACAATTCCGCCGCTAGGGGCGCCGGCATAGGCGCGTAGCCTTTTAGAAACAGAACACGACATCTACCCAAAGGTGAAAAAGCAGTAAACAAACCAACACAAAAACAAGCCTTTGACAGGAGAGAACTTTTTGTGAAGTTGAACATACACAAGTTCATTATCTCTGCAATGATTTTTATGAGAAGATTGATAAACAGGTAACAATCGGGTTAGCAAAGTTTAGGTTTAAATGAGAACAACATTTTGTTTGGGGCCTTGCCTGTAACAGTGTTAGGCGTATTCCTGTAGTTGAACAAAAACTTGCTAAGAACCACTGAAAGCTCCGAACTTGTGATAGACTCATTGGCTAGGATTTTACCCAAACCTTTCTTGGCTATGTCTACGTTTCTCTCAGCGAGGCCATTGCTGGATGGGTAGTAGACAGGGGAATGCAAGAGAGTGAAATTATAGGATGTACAGAAATCAGCATAGTCGTTGGAATCGAAAGGAGGTCCAGTATCACTGACCAAAGTACCAGGCAAACCAAACATAGCAAATATTGACATGAACACACTATTAACCTCAAGAGCAGTACGACACTTGAAACCTATACACACGGAGTTCGTGGAGGCTCCGTATAAACACGCAGTTCCCGGGGGCTCGGTACAAACACGGAGTTCAGCAGGCCGCCGTATAGAGTCGTAACTATGTTTTTTGAAAATGTCAAGTTATGAAGTGCGTCGGATAGAGAAAACCAAGGGCCACCGATCAGCGAAAACCGCATTTCGATATGTCAATTTGTTCAAATGTAATTCTGGTCTGAAAATCCAGCCGCCCATAAGGCGCAATGTAAATCCAAAACTTTGAAGCGCTACACCTCAGAACTAACTTTCAAGCACTTACGACGTTAAACGGGGACCCGCTGAACTGCGTGTCTGTACGGAGCTGCCTGGAACTACGGGTTTATACGGAGACTCCACGAACTCCGTGCTTGTAGGTTTCAAGTGTCGAGAAGTCCTAGTTATAACAGAGATATGTGACCACTTTGAATAGGAAGCTACAAACAGAAAGAAGGTACGTGAATGGAAATCAAAAAAGTCAACATGAACTCTTTGGAATGGAGTAGTGGCTGGTGTCCACTGTAAATACATTTTAGCCACAGGAAAATTAACCAAGGAACACGAATCACAGTTGCGAACCATGGTCTCAATATCTGAGTTCAAGGAGGGCCAATATATTAAGGAACGAGGAAGAGCCTTGGATCGAACCATACTAGGATGACCTTCATGAATCAGTTTTAATACACAGGACTGTGTAGAGGGAGGAATAATGACTCAAGCATTAAACATAAAACAACCATCAACAATTGTAATGTCATCCCTCAGACGAGCAAAATGGTCAAGATCGGGGTTTGGATATTTTCTGTGCCACCCAATTCTAGCACAAGAGAGTAATTTATCTTTGGCGGTTTCTGCAGGTACCACCGCAGATGTAACAGGTAACAAGGTTAACACTCTAACATGAAAGACATCAGCAATCTTACATCTAAGATTAGGAAGACGAGATAAGGCGTCTGCAACCTTCAGAAATTCTGATTTTTTATGGATAAGTTTATAACTATAACCTTGCAAGATTGCAGCCCAATGTTGCAACCTGTGACCAGTACGAGTCGGGAGACCTCGGGTGTCACCTAAAATCCTTTGTACTGCAAATTATCAGTAATTAGCACAAATGGGCGTCCGCAGATGAATCTATGGAATTTATTAATCGCAAACACAACCGCGAGGGCCTCCCTATCTATTTGGGCATGGTTTTGTTGAGCAGTAGTAAGAGACCTGGAAGCATACATAATTAACACAAACACAAACAAACAAAAGCAGTATCAAGCCAAGGCTAAATTATGAACAGAATTATCCCTAATGAAACAAACAACAACTTATTGCTCCACGACCCCTGAACGTAATAATTAGAGATTTAAATTAGTGAGTAGCTCTTCAAACTGTCATCGTATGTGTCGCCGAAGTTGCAGGAAACTCCCAATTCTTGGAGAACAGACACGTACTCAAAGACGCTTTCGGCTGTGCGCTGCATGCGCTGACGGAATATCAGGCGATTAGCTTCAACAAAGCTAAGAGATTCATACTGCTGCTTGAGCACTGCAACTAATTCAGAAAGTGCATAACTCTCCGGAGGAGTAGGCGAACCTGCCATATGAATGATTCGCTTGCCCAAGGATGCTAGAAAGAGCGTTCTTCTACGAGTAGCGAGCATACGTGGCCATGTTCATCCGGTTCATCTTCAGGTGCGATTCCATAAGTCGCACAAAACATGTTGAAAGAGGCGTACCAGTGTGGAAAGAGCTCGCCGCCGTCAGAAGGATCGAACTTGTCTATTGATCCAATGGTGCCCAAGACCACAATAGGTTGCTGACCGGCGGCCATCTTCACTTACTTGCGGGGTCAATGTTCTTGATAGGGAAGATTGCTTGTTCTTCAAGAAACCGATGAGGTAGAGCTGGGCCCCCACGGGAGTCCGAAAAAGAAAGATCCTCGTCGCTAATTTGATGTTTTCTCTTGAGTGATTATACTGAAGAAGTACTGAATGGATGTGGATAATAAAGTCGTATTACCTCTTTCATTCCATATTCATAACTGAGTTTATTTCCGGTCTGAACAGAGAGGACGCATTTACAATTCCGCCGCTAGGGGTCTGGCATAGGCGCGTAGCCTTATAGAAACAGAACCCGACACAGCGCTGGTAAGCGGACTATATCGCTTCCCGCCAGGCCAGCGCCATAGTTTCACGCGTATGATTCGAACCGGCGAGTCGCCGCCGGGCGCCGCCCGGATCGTTCCACTCGCATTATGGGTGTGATGCAATAAAATGGTGTGGACGGTCGAAGTGCGATTCGAAAGCTATGGGTCCAAGCTACATTCCGGCGCAAACCATGACCGAAAAAATTGAACGGTACTCCTCGTGCTAGAGCGAAGTACCTAGATTCCGAGTATTTACGCCCTACGTTCTGAGTGGTGGCACCGATTCGCCGCAGCGCGGCTTGAAACACGACACTCGTGGTAACCGCCAAAAGCGATGTGAAGCTTTGACCGCGAGGCGCGTATGGTTCCGGGGGTCGTAAATACCTCGGACAACGACTACTATCCTTAGAATTGAGTGTAGTTTCATTTAAAATGCGTTCTTGCTTACCGATTTTTTTTTGGAGACAGCCTAATGTGCACGCACAGATAAATCTTGTAATAGGCCAAAATTTCCCCAAAAGTAAGAAGCATAAGATGAGCCGGTAAGCGTGTGTATGATGTTATATTGGCCCTGAATGTAACTGCGCGTGTCTTAATAAAACACTTTTTCGTCTTAGACCTCAAGTGAAAATCGACCGACACTGCAGCTGACCGTAAAGACGCGCCAAACTCAGGGCCGGCGTGGGGCAGCAGGCCGTGGCGGGGCCGGAGGTGAAGCAGGCACAGATGGTGCGATGGTGGAGTACACAGATCACTACTTCTTCTTCATCAAATATAAATCAAAGGTAAGTCGCTAGCATTTGACACATCGCACCATCCTATGAACGCAGAGCTTCATTTTAAGGGCAACTATTAAATTACTACTTTACGAAAAAAGGACTTAATGGTGGGGATCAACTTTGTTTGATGTGCTGCTGGCTACTCGGAAGAGGGGAATTCGTTCCCTGAACTAAAATATCAGTTAATTTTACGATGACTCAGAGTTTTTTTAGTTTCAAAACTGTATGTAGTGATTAGCAACCGAAATATAGTTGCAGGGGACGACCATAAGAGATGTTGTACTCTAAACTTGTAAATATTCACACTGTAAAAAAAATTAGAGGGAATTTTCCCCTCCCCGCGTGGCAACGCTCCTTTGCCAGCTAGTGTTCGGTAAATTTACAGACCCAAATAGCCAGGAAATCCCCGGCCTACTGGTGGGGAAATTAACAAGCCAATGTGGTTGGGAAAGGAGTCTTTCCAACCCACCCAAGTAAATTTACTACGTGGGCAGGAAAGGAGTCTTGACTCACTCACCGTCACCAAATTTACCATTGCGCGCGTGTGAGGATGACTTTCGTGCCCACCACATGCTAATATCCAGCCCAGGACAAGGATGGCGGCGTTGCCACACCACTAGCACGGAAATTTCATCTCCGATAGCAGTCCTTAGGAGCAAAGTGCGAGTTTTACCTAATGCTCTCGGGCCGACTGGACTGTATAATAGTCCACCGATTTCCGAAATCAATTTCAAAAATTTGATCATCGATCTCAAGATGAGAACTTGTCATAGCAGCAACACGTGAAGCCAAAAGTCATATGGGAAGTACGCAAGCACTGTAAAAAAAATCCATCTTAATTTTAAGAACACGTGTTTGGAAGCAATTTACAAAACAAATTTGCTCTTAAATTTAAGAACAAATGTTTTATGAAAATTAAGAACATGTTTTGAAAATTAAGAACGTGTTATGAAACGACAAAAATGCTTTACTTTTCCAGCCTAACGCAAATCTGGAAAATATTTAGTTCTTGTTCGATTCGAACCTCGGACCTTTGGGTTCGGATCCTGACGCCTTAGACCGCGCGGCTGTCGGGACATACCTGTGAAGGGAACGCTCGCACCCGACCTTATGCGGCGCTCCGCCCAGGGGCATTCCCAGAATAGCTATGTGCTTGGTCGGACGGCGTATGTTTGTTAACT